GAGCGGGGGCAGCGCCCGGGCACTGCGGCCCCTGCGCGCCCTCCCCGGGCCCGGTTCTCGCAGCGCAGGGCCCCTGCCTGCTGCCTGGGTGCCAGCGGGACCAGCCCTTGGGCTGCTGGCCGGGTCCTGCTCCCGTCGCATCCTCCCCCGCCGCCCTTCCGGCTGCGCCAGGCCTGGCTGCAGGTCGTGGGCTGCCGGCCGGGCTGGGGCTGGCTCCGCTCCCTCTGGCTGCTCTGCTCGTTGCCAGCTCCGTGCAGAGCGTGGACACCCCTTCCCTGCTGGCGCTGGCATGACCCGCTGCCCAGGACTCCTGGGCTCTCTTCTCGGCTTGGCCCAGCTTGCCCCCTGTCTGGGGCACGGGGCCGTCTGCGCTGGGGGTGCCAGAGATGTCTCCCCTAGGAACAGGGCCCCTGGCGGGCAGAGGGGCGAAGGCCTTAATGGGGCCAGGAAGCAGGGTTTCTAATGTGGCAGTAACGAAAGCTGGTGGAGCCCACGCACGGGGAGTTTCGCTTTTCATTTCCCCACCAAAGCGGCGCAAGGAGGAGGGTCTGCGGAGACAGGGGGCCGAGGATGCCCAGCCTCTGCTGCTGGCTGTGGCCTGTGGGGTGGCTGCAGCCAGGGAGCAGGCCCCAGTGTGGAGCAGGCCCCCCGCAGCGCTCACAGGCTGGGGAGACCCGATGGGAAAGGCAGGGCCAGCACCCCCTTCCCAGCTGGGGGCAGGGACCTGAGCCCCGGTCGCCCTGTGCCTTCCTTCCAGTGTGGCGCAGGGCTGTGGGGCACATGCCCTCCCAGCTGCGCCTGCACGTGCTGCTCTACCCCCCCGGTTCGGGGCTCTACTTCCCTTGAAGCATTCAAGGTTGGTCCAGCCTGGGCTGAGCCCAGCGGCCTCTGCCTTGGCCTGAGGTCCCGTCCCCTGGGGCCGTGGCCATGCAGGGCAAGCCGGGGGCTGCACGGGCAATGCTGTTGTCGGCTGAGGGTGAGCTGGCAGGACCTGGGTTGCGGGCCTAGCGCTTGGCCGCCCCATCCAGTGCCCTGAGCTGGGGGTGGGCTCTGGGCAGCCCCATCCCAGTCCTGGTGAGGAGGACAGGCAGGGGGTGCAGGGCCCTAACAGGTGTCTCTGCACAGGGTCTCCCATGGGCCGGCCTAGCCCCCCCAGATGCCATGGAGCTGTGTGCCCAGAAGCGCCCCCCAGGTAGGGCCTGCAGGGGGAGGGGAGGGTGCTGGGGACCCTCAGCTGCTGGCTCGTGGCCTGGCACCTGCACTCCCTCCGCTTGCTTTTTGGGGGTCCTGTTGTCCCGGCAACAGCAGTGCAGCCCCATTGGCCAGCTCGTGGCAGTGGGTGGGCCAGGCCCTGCAGGGGGCGGGGCAACTGCATGGGGTGGGGAACGGGGGATGGGGTGGACTGCGGGGCCATGCACAGGGCGATGTCTGCCCAGGAGCCCTGGCCCTGGGAGCCCTGGAGGGGGGCTGGGGGGTGCAGCTGCTGCCGCTGCCCCCTGGCGGCTCCAGCTCCATCACGGGAGGCTGCAGATCTGACTCGACGTGAGCTCGTCGGCTGCCCCTCCTGGGGGTCCTGGGCTGCGCTGACCACACTGCACTCTTGCAGAGGACGAGCGGCGGGTGAAGGCCAATGCACGGGACTACAACGAGAAGTTCCAGTATGCCGTGAGTGCAGGATCGGGCCCCAGGGCAGCCTCCAGCCGTGATGCCCTTCACGCTGGGAGGGTCCGTGTAGCTGCGGGTCCCGGTGCAGGCGCTGGCTTGTTTGTCCAGCTCCTTCCTCCCAGGATCCTCCCCCAACAACACCCTGTCCTGTACCACGGGTGCCTGCCAGAGCAGCCCACCCCGTGCTACAGTGGGGAGGGGACCCAGGAGTCTGGGGCAGGCCAGATGAGCCCATCCTTCTGCCTGGGGTAGGGGCGCGGGTGCTGAGCCCATGTGCCCCAGGCCCTGCCTGTGTCTCACCCCCTCTGTGTCTCTCCCCAGAGTAACTGTATCAAGACCTCCAAGTACAACATTGTCACTTTCCTGCCCGTCAACCTCTTCGAGCAGTTCCAGGAAGTGGCCAACACCTATTTTCTCTTCCTCCTCATCCTGCAGGTGGGTGCGGGGGTCCTGCAGGGCAGGGGCTGGCCTGGGGTGCCCTGTGGCAAGGGAATGGGACCTGCTTTGGAGATGCCCAGGGTCCCTCAGGTATGATGGCCCTGTACGCACACGGCCTGCCCTCCCATCCACAGGGTGGGGGCACGGGCATCTCTGACACCCCCCCCTCTTTCTGCAGCTGATCCCCCAGATCTCCTCACTGTCTTGGTTCACCACCATCGTGCCTTTGGTTCTTGTCTTAACCATCACAGCTGTCAAAGATGCCACTGATGACTACGTGAGTGTCCCCAGCCATGCCCCACAGTGCTGGGCTGCGGGTGCTGGTCCCATCCCGGCCAGGCTGTGGTGTCGGCAGTGTTGCCCCGACTACCTGCTGGGCCAAGGGTGCCCAGGCTGGCATGGGGGCAGATGGGATGCAGGGGCTAGGCCTGTGCTGCTCGGCTCTGCCTTTGTTCCCGTAGCTCCCTGGAAAAAGCCTGGGTCCAGCCATGGTGCCTAGGTGTGGTGGAACAGGGCCCTTCTCTGAGCCTTTCTCCTGCCCACAGTTTCGCCATAAGAGCGACAACCAGGTGAACAACCGCCAATCTCAGGTGCTGATCAACGGGACGTGAGTATCACTGGGCCGTGGTGGCAGGGCCAGGGTGAGGGACTGGGGGAGGCCACGGGCCCCTGGGCTTGGCCAAGCTAGCACCGGGGCCCGTGGCCCCGCCACCACGGCCCATTAGCTAGCACCCTAACTCTGCTCTGCACCTCCTACAGCCTCCAGCAGGAGCAATGGATGAATGTGCGCGTTGGAGACATCATCAAGTTGGAAAACAACCAGTTTGTGGCAGTGAGTTTGATCCCGGGGCAGAGGGGAGTGTGCAGAGGGAAGGCTTCAACCACGGGGTCCCGCAGATTCAGAGGCCCTCCTGTCCCTGGGAAGGCCAAGGGCTTGGCCCCTAGCATACAACCCAGAACCCAGGGTCCCCTGCCCCATGCCACACAGAGAGAGGTCCCAGCAGGAGCAGCCAGTTGGGGGCCCCAATCCCAGCTCAGCCCTGGCCCCGCCTTTCCCCCCGACAGGCCGATCTCCTGCTTCTCTCCAGCAGCGAGCCCCACGGATTGTGCTACATAGAAACCGCAGAGCTGGATGGGTAGGTGACTCTGGCTGTGCAGCCCCAGGCACCCTGGGCTCTGGACACTGCAGGGAACTTGGTGCCAGTGCCGGAGCTGAGGGAGGGGAGGGCTCCCCAGGCACGGGTGCTGTGTGGGGTGGGGAGTGACTCACTTGAGGTCACTCATGGAGAAACCAGTGGTTCTGGAGGTGGAACCCCGGCGTCCTGGGGGCCAGAGTCCAGGGTGACACCGTGTCTTTCCCCTGCCAGGGAGACCAACATGAAAGTGCGGCAGGCCATTCCCGTGACCTCTGAGCTGGCAGACACCAGCAGGCTGGCTCAGTTTGACGGTGAGAGCCCAGCACCAGGCAGCTGATGGTAGCCTGCCCTGCCCTGCACTGGCCATGGGTGCTCAGGGCAGCCTTTGTGCCCCTGTGACTCTTACTCCTTGATCCAGCCTGTGCTTTGCTCCATGATCCCCACAGCTGGGACTGGAGTTGCCCTCCAGCCTGTGCTCCTGCCCCACTCCCCACACCAAGTGGGTGCCCCAGCCTTCATGGAGCTGGTGGGCCGGGACAGAAGTGAGGAGCTGGGTCCCCCCCTGCTCCTTTCTCCTGTGCAGGGGTGTGAGATGCCGCGTTGCGGCCCCTCTGCCCCCCCAGGTGAGGTGATCTGCGAGACCCCGAACAACAAGCTGGACAAGTTCAGTGGGACTCTGTACTGGAAGGAGAACAAGTACCTGCTGAGCAACCAGAACATGCTGCTGCGCGGCTGCGTCCTGCGCAACACCGAGTGGTGCTTTGGCCTCGTCATCTTTGCAGGTGGGGGCCTGCAGCTGGGCCAGGACCTGGGGGGAGGGGGGCTGGGGGGCAACATTGGGGTGACAGGCTGGAGCCCAGCAATGCGGGGGGAGGAAGAACCCCCCAGTTGGGGGGCATAAGGCAGGAGACTCCCCAGGGATCTCCTGCTCATGGCACCCCCCATCTGCCCCCAGGTCCAGACACCAAGCTGATGCAGAACAGTGGCCGGACCAAGTTCAAGCGCACGAGCATTGACCGACTGATGAACACACTGGTGCTCTGGGTACGTGGGACCCAGCCTCTGCTGCTGGGGCTTGGGAGGGAGGGAAGAGGCCTGTGGGCAGGGACCCCCTGCCTCTTGCAGCTGGGAGCTCTCCCCTCCTGCCTCAGTTTCCCCCTGAGCAGCACCCCCCTCTGAGTCCAAATCCTGCTGGCTGCCCCCTGGTGGTGGGTGCTGCCCCCTGGTGGTGCTGAGGCAGTCTCTCTGTGGCAATTGGGGGTGCTGG